AGCTCATGTTAGCATTAGCGTTAGCCACAGCGCCCTAACTTCATCACGGTAAGAAAATCAGAACATTCACTCAAGTTGCTAAAGTATTCTGGTGATTGTTTTGTGGGGATTCTGCGTTTTTTTACTTTAGACTTTGTCCCTGAATAAGTTTAGTTGAAACTTGTGACAGTAGTTGGACTCCGCTCGGATCGGGTCAGAACATCCTGAGACTGTTGCAGATTCTGCCTCGTTCTCATTATTGTCAGTGTTAAAACGTTACGGATTGTTCTCGTGTGAGTCTGTTGTGCACAGACTACACAATGTGCCTCCTGTTGTGTTAACACCAGTGTGGGCGGGTCCCGGCTCAAAAGTGGCCATAATGACATGCGCTGACATGCTGCAGTACCACCCCGGGCCGATGGGGGTGGACCCAGAAGAAGAATTAGCCAATGCTAACATATAGCATTGGCAGACCTCTCAAAAACGTCTTTACAGGATGGTCCTGGCTCTTGGCCCAAAGCTCCGTTCCACATGTGTGTCAATGCTGAGGGGGGTGGATTTTTTTGGACCACTATAGTTTACTTGCTGTGAATTTTTGATTTTCTTGTTCAAATGAATGGAGCTGCGCCGGCTGACGCATGCGCAGATGCGTTTTTTGACAGTTTTCTTGTGGGCGGGACCACTTGCGGCCATTTTGGATAGCTCCAGTAGAGCACTATTTTTGGCCCATTGGTTAGAACGACGGAGATAGGCGTGACTCTGTTCGTTAATTTACAGTGCCTTGCGAAAGTATTCGGCCCCCTTGAACCTTTCAACATTTCGCCATATTTCAGGCTTCAAACATAAAGATATAAAATTTTAATTTTTTGTCATGAATCAACAACAAGTGGGACACAATCGTGAAGTGGAATGAAATGTATTGGATAATTTAAACTTTTTTAACAAATAAAAAACTGAAAAGTGGGGCGTGCAATATTATTGGGCCCCTTTACTTTCAGTGCAGCAAACTCAGTCCAGAAGTTCAGTGAGGATCTTTGAATGATCCAATGTTGTCCTAAATGACTGATGATGATAAATATAATGCACCTGTGTGTAATCAAGTCTCCGTATAAATGCACCTGCTCTTTGATAGTCTCAGGGTTCTGTTTAAAGCACAGAGAGAACCATGAAGACAAAGGAACACACCAGGCAGGTCCGAGATACTGTTGTGGAGAAGATTAAAGCCGGATTTGGATACAAAAAGATTTCCCAAGCTTTAAACATCTCAAGGAGCACTGTGCAAGCAATTATATTGAAATGGAAGGAGTATCAGACCACTGCAAATCTACCAAGACCCGGCCGTCCCTCCAAACTTTCATCTCAAACAAGGAGAAGACTGATCAGAGATGCAGCCAAGAGGCCCATGATCACTCTGGATGAAACATAAAACATGTGCGCGTGCATCGGCGCCGATGCACGCGCACATGTTTTACAAATGATCAATTTACTCGCAACTTACTTTTTTTTCCTCTGTGAAGTACGTATTCAGGGCTTTCCGAAACTAGTTTTGATTTGTCTGTGCGATGCACGGAGGATAAACTACGTTTGTCTGAAAGTCTGTGTCCAAAGCGTGACCCGTGAGGTACAAACAGCTGTGAGATACAAACACACGGGGACTGCCAAAGATCGTCAGAGAGTGGGATGTCTCACTCCTCTGCGTTTACTTGTTCTCCCACAGTTGAAACTACAGCTGCGATTGCAATAACCGGCTGAAGAGTGCGCATTATTGATAAAGACGATAATAAATACAGTAAAATGACATTATGTGTATATGATGTTTATAAATATATGTATTATATAAATAATTGATGTTTTTTTTTTTTTTGGCTCAGTTTCTTATGTTTTACGTTTTTTACAACTGTACTACAGAAGCAACCCCAGCATTATAGACAAACTGCTTCAGGAAGGGCATCAGGAGTACAGAGTTTTTTGCTTTTAGAGTGTAATTTTGTAAAAAGTATAATAGTTAGAGATTCAATTTTTTTCCCCATTATCCCCAAGACCATAAATAATATTTCTATGCAGTGTAAAAAGTTGTTTATAGCATTTCATTGTGTTTTTTCAATACATTTTTGTTAAATTGATTTTCCGTTTGATTTTTTTCTTTGTCTTCATGATTCCATAATTTTTATATAATTCATATGACAGCTTTACAATATGAATATTCTAAAACCCCAAGTTGTACTGAAAAAAACAAAGTATACTGCTTGACTCTGCATCAAAAGATGACTGTTTTATGAATAATTATACACAAAGAAAACCAGGCGAGGAAAGTTCCCCAAAATGAACCATGTGCATAGAGGGTTAAAGCTTGGGAAATCTTTTTGTATCCAAATCCGGCTTTAAACTTCTCCACAACAGTATCTCGGACCTGCCTGGTGTGTTTCTTTGTCTTCATGGTTCTCTCTGCGCTTTAAACAGAACCCTGAGACTATCAAAGAGCAGGTGCATTTATACGGAGACTTGATTACACACAGGTGCATTCTATTTATCATCATCAGTCATTTAGGACAACATTGGATCATTCAAAGATCCTCACTGAACTTCTGGACTGAGTTTGCTGCACTGAAAGTAAAGGGGCCCAATAATATTGCACGCCCCACTTTTCAGTTTTTTATTTGTTAAAAAAGTTTAAATTATCCAACACATTTCTTTCCACTTCACGATTGTGTCCCATTTGTTGTTGATTCATGACAAAAAATTTAAATTTTATATCTTTATGTTTGAAGCCTGAAATGTGGCGAAATGTTGAAAGGTTCAAGGGGGCCGAATACTTTCGCAAGACACGGTATGTACAGTGGGGCAAAAAAGTATTTAGTCAGCCACCGATTGTGCAAGTTCTCCCACTTAAAATAATGACAGAGGTCTGTAAATTTCATCATAGGTTCACTTCAACTGTGAGAGACAGAATTTGAAAAAAAAAATCCAGGAATTCACATTGTAGGATTTTTAAAGAATTTATTTGTAAATTATGGTGGAAAATAAGTATTTGGTCAATAACAAAAATTCAACTCAATACTTGGTAATATAACCTTTGTTGGCAATAACAGAGGTCAAACGATTACTATAGGTCTTTACGAGGTTTGCATACACAGTAGCTGGTATTTTGGCCCATTCCTCCATGCAGATCTTCTCGAGAGCAGTGAACACGGACTTTCAACTCCCTCCACAGATTTTCTATGGGGTTGAGGTCTGGAGACTGGCTAGGCCACTCCAGGACTTTAAAATGCAGGTCATTCACCAGGTCCCCCCGTGTGGTTCTGGGATTTTTGATCACCGTTCTCATGATTTTGACCCCACGGGATGAGATCTTGCGTGGAGCCCCAGATCGAGGGAGATTATCAGTGGTCTTGTATGTCTTCCATTTTCTGATAATTGCTCCCACAGTTGATTTGTTCACACCAAGCTGCTTGCCTATTGTAGATTCACTCTTCCCAGTCTGGTGCAGGTCTACAATTCTTTTCCTGGTGTCCTTCGACAACTCTTGGCCATAGTGGAGTTTGGAGTCTGACTGTTTGAGGCTGTGGACAGGTGTCTTTTATACAGATGTGTTCAAACAGGTGCCATTAATACAGGTAACAAGTGGAGGACAGAAGAGCTTCTTAAAGAAGAAGTTACAGGTCTGTGAGAGCCACAGATCTTCCTTGTTTGAAGTGACCAAATACTTATTTTCCACCATAATTTACAAATAAATTCTTTAAAAATCCTACAATAGATAAATAAATAAATCCTACAGAGCAAGGCGAGAGCGAGGCGAGCAGTTAGTATACCCTAACCCTGAGAGGGAGGTGTATATTATGGTGGATTGACCATTAAGGGCAATGCTGCTCAAGGACCGAGGGAGACCCAGTCATTTCCTCAAACACTGGCTGATGGTCTTCTCCAGTACCTCCACTGTTGTTATTGGTACCTCATTGATTTTTAGGGGCCAGAGTTTTCTTGGCAGGACTCCATGCTGGTACATTCATGCTTTAAATTACACCTGGTCCCTGTTAGCGAAATCCGGCGGTCTGATTGGTTGAAACTTGGTCAATGGCAATTTACATACTACTTTATATGATAAAAAGTTCAAATTTCAGTTAGCGCTAGCAAAAATACGACAAGGATTCTCTGTTTGGAAACTTCAAATTGTGTTCATATTGTTATAAGCTTTCAGAAAACGTTGAAAAGCACTATTACCCATGACGCTGGAACGGAAGTTAATATTATTCATTCTAGCACGCAAGCAAGCATATGTTTTTTTAGTATTTTGTCATATTTGTCCACCACAATATCTTTGGCCTGCCTCTATTTAGAAGCTAAAAATTTTATTAGGCAATAGGATCCTGGGTTTGAATTTTACTAAAATCTACATATACCCTGTATGGCAATCTCACTCCCATCTCTGCGTGGAGTGAGAGACAATTGCCCACAATTCTAAAACACTTTGTGACTCTAGTTTGTGAAAGGCACTATATAAATAAAGAGAACTTTCTTAGGCCCCATTTGGACGGAGACGCTGCGGACATGCTGCAAAGTAATTGGCAAAAACGTCCACGCTCTTGCAGAGCGTTTAAATCAGTGGTTGTCAAAGTGTGTGGTACGCGGGACTCCCTTGTACCACTAGGGTAATTTAAACAGGAAAGTCCCATTGAGATTAAGAACCTCTTTTTCAAGGGTGTCCTGGACAAAAATTACATACAATTACAGATTATAAAACAGTCACATACAATTTAATAAAATTACAGAATATAGGGCCAGTAGTTGGCAGTGGAACTTGTCGCATAACCCACAGCAGTTAACCGTTTCCTTTCTGCAAATATTGGTACTTCAAATCTTTTTAAAGTGCTTTGGATGACCATGTTATTACTGATATAACTGATATTACTGAAATTATTTATTTTAAGAGCTAATTAATTATATATTAATACACTAATTAGCACTTAATTTGCTGTTAGTTAGTGAGTGTTAAAATAAAGTATGTTTTGTATGGATGGATGAAGATGGCTGTTTGTGTTGTCCCCACAGTGAGCAGTGATGAGCTGCTGTCTCTGACCTCACCCAAAATGAGCCAGCCCAAAGAGCGTGAGAAGGAGAAAGAGGCCGGGCTCCACACTCAGGTCCAAGAGCAGCTCCAAGGCAGCCCTGGGACAAGCCACAGCCAAGGTGAGAGTGACATCTATGGACCACATATCAGCGTGCCATGGTTATAGAAAAACAACTGGGTTTGTCTGGGGACAATATTATATTGTTTTTGGAATATTAGCTCAACATTTTGCATATGCTTCAGGAAATTACTTCATTTTTGCTATGAGACCATTACAGAATATTCAAGGGACATTTGTACTCTTACATTCTTAAAACAAGTGTTTTGAACAAAAGAACCCTCAATATAATAAAGACTAAGATCTATTTAAGATCTAACAGTTATTTCTTTCGGGGGATTCACCAGTCAACCACCATATAGTATAGAGCAGTGACGTGTATCATGTACATCAACAGGACCGACAGAGTGGCTTTTTCACAATTAGTTTGGCAACAGCAGGATATATTTCATGTCCGCATTGTTTGTTCATGAACTGCATCCTTTAACATGAACTGCATAGACACTTAAGTTCAGTTTCATGTTTAAAGAGTGACTAAACACCTGTCGCGAGCCTTACTCCGCCTATATGGAGGAACAAAACTGTCAGTGCTTTTATTTTCTTCATATTTTATTTTTATTGATGTTCTGTTTAATTATTTCACAACACATTATTTTTTTCTCGTGTCTTGAAAAGCAATGCAAATGAAGGGGGCGGAGCTAAAGAAAGTTAGACCAAAGCAGTCTATCTTCAGAGATCGGCTGCATACATACCTCGATATCGCTCCATTCCCCACAGTGAGGAGGTCTGACCCACAGTGAGGAGGTCTGACCCACAGTGAGGAGGTCTGACCCACAGTGAGGTCTGACCCACAGTGAGGAGGTCTGACCCACAGTGAGGAGGTCTGACCCACAGTGAGGAGGTCTGACCCACAGTGAGGTCTGACCCACAGTGAGGAGGTCTGACCCACAGTGAGGAGGTCTGACCCACAGTGAGGTCTGACCCACAGTGAGGTCTGACCCACAGTGAGGTCTGACCCACAGTGAGGTCTGACCCACAGTGAGGTCTGACCCACAGTGAGGAGGTCTGACCCACAGTGAGGAGGTCTGACCCACAGAGAGGAGGTCTGACCCACAGTGAGGAGGTCTGACCCACAGAGAGGAGGTCTGACCCACAGTGAGGAGGTCTGACCCACAGTGAGGAGGTCTGACCCACAGTGAGGTCTGACCCACAGTGAGGTCTGACCCACAGTGAGGTCTGACCCACAGAGAGGAGGTCTGACCCACAGTGAGGTCTGACCCACAGAGAGGAGGTCTGACCCACAGTGAGGAGGTCTGACCCACAGTGAGGAGGTCTGACCCACAGTGAGGAGGTCTGACCCACAGTGAGGTCTGACCCACAGAGAGGAGGTCTGACCCACAGTGAGGAGGTCTGACCCACAGTGAGGTCTGACCCACAGTGAGGAGGTCTGACCCACAGTGAGGAGGTCTGACCCACAGTGAGGTCTGACCCACAGTGAGGTCTGACCCACAGTGAGGTCTGACCCACAGTGAGGAGGTCTGACCCACAGTGGAGGTCTGACCCACAGAGAGGAGGTCTGCCCACAGTGAGGAGGTCTGACCCACAGTGAGGAGGTCTGACCCACAGTGAGGAGGTCTGACCCACAGTGAGGTCTGACCCACAGAGAGGAGGTCTGACCCACAGTGAGGAGGTCTGACCCACAGTGAGGTCTGACCCACAGTGAGGAGGTCTGACCCACAGTGAGGAGGTCTGACCCACAGTGAGGTCTGACCCACAGTGAGGTCTGACCCACAGTGAGGTCTGACCCACAGTGAGGAGGTCTGACCCGCAAAATGGCAGCGGGGGCTGGAAAATGTGAAAAAAAGCATTTGCGCATCCGTCAGCCCCATTCATTTAAACGAGTGGCTTCAAAAATTCACAGCAAGTAGACTGGTCCAAAGAAATTCATTTCCCTCAGCATTGACACACTTTAGACCAAGAGCCAACTTTTGGACCATCCTGTAAAGGTTTTTTTGAGAGATAAGAACCCTAACTGTAAGATGCTATATGTTAGCATTGGCTAATTCTTATTCCGGGTCCACCCACATCGGCCCGGGGTGGTATTGCAGCATGTCATCGCACAACATTTTGGCCACTTTTGATCCGGGACCTGCCCCCATTGGGTCTGACCCACAGAGAGGAGGTCTGACTCACAGTGAGGAGGTCTGACCCACAGAGAGGAGGTCTGACCCACAGAGAGGAGGTCTGACTCACAGAGAGGAGGTCTGACCCACAGAGAGGAGGTCTGACCCACAGAGAGGAGGTCTGACCCACAGAGAGGAGGTCTGACCCACAGAGAGGAGGTGTGACTCACAGAGAGGAGGTCTGACTCACAGTGAGGAGGTCTGACCCACAGTGAGGAGGTCTGACCCACAGAGAGGAGGTCTGACCCACAGAGAGGAGGACTGACCCACAGAGAGGAGGTGTGACTCACGGAAAGGAGGTCAGTTTGAGGAGGTCTGACCCACAGTGAGGAGGTCTGACCCACAGAGAGGAGGACTGACCCACAGAGAGGAGGTCTGACCCACAGAGAGGAGGTCTGACCTACAGAGAGGAGGTCTGACCCACAGAGAGGAGGTCTGACCCACAGAGAGGAGGTCTGACCCACAGAGAGGAGGTCTGACTCACAGAGAGGAGGTCTGACCCACAGAGAGGAGGTCTGACTCACAGAGAGGAGGTCTGACCCACAGAGAGGAGGTCTGACCTACAGAGAGGAGGTCTGACCCACAGAGAGGAGGTCTGACCTACAGAGAGGAGGTCTGACTCACAGTGAGGAGGTCTGACCTACAGAGAGGAGGTCTGACCCACAGAGAGGAGGTCTGACCCACAGAGAGGAGGTCTGACTCACAGAGAGGAGGTCTGACTCACAGAGAGGAGGTCTGACCTACAGAGAGGAGGTCTGACCTACAGAGAGGAGGTCTGACCTACAGAGAGGAGGTCTGACTCACAGTGAGGAGGTCTGACCCACAGTGAGGAGGTCTGACCTACACAGAGAGGAGGTCTGACCTACAGAGAGGAGGTCTGACCTACAGAGAGGAGGTCTGACCCACAGAGAGGAGGTCTGACCTACAGAGAGGAGGTCTGACCTACAGAGAGGAGGTCTGACCTACAGAGAGGAGGTCTGACTCACAGAGAGGAGGTCTGACCCACAGAGAGGAGGTCTGACCTACAGTGAGGAGGTCTGACCTACAGTGAGGAGGTCTGACCTACAGAGAGGAGGTCTGACACACAGTGAGGGGGTCTGACCTACAGTGAGGAGGACTGACCCACAGTGAGGAGGTCTGACCCACAGAGAGGAGGTCTGACTCACAGTGAGGAGGTCTGACCTACAGAGAGGAGGTCTGACTCACAGAGAGGAGGTCTGACCCACAGAGAGGAGGTCTGACCCACAGAGAGGAGGTCTGACCTACAGAGAGGAGGTCTGACCCACAGAGAGGAGGTCTGACTCACAGAGAGGAGGTCTGACTCACAGAGAGGAGGTCTGACCCACAGAGAGGAGGTCTGACTCACAGAGAGGAGGTCTGACTCACAGAGAGGAGGTCTGACTCACAGAGAGGAGGTCTGACTCACAGAGAGGAGGTCTGACCCACAGAGAGGAGGTCTGACCCACAGAGAGGAGGTCTGACTCACAGAGAGGAGGTCTGACTCACAGAGAGGAGGTCTGACCCACAGAGAGGAGGTCTGACTCACAGAGAGGAGGTCTGACCCACAGAGAGGAGGTCTGACCACAGAAGGCAGAGAGGAGGTCTGACCTACAGAGAGGAGGTCTGACTCACAGAGAGGAGGTCTGACCCACAGAGAGGAGGTCTGACCTACAGAGAGGAGGTCTGACCCACAGAGAGGAGGTCTGACACACTTGAGGAGGTCTGACCTACAGAGAGGAGGTCTGACCTACAGAGAGGAGGTCTGACCCACAGAGAGGAGGTCTGACCTACAGAGAGGAGGTCTGACTCACAGAGAGGAGGTCTGACTCACAGAGAGGAGGTCTGACTCACAGAGAGGAGGTCTGACCCACAGAGAGGAGGTCTGACCCACAGAGAGGAGGTCTGACCCACAGAGAGGAGGTCTGACCTACAGTGAGGAGGTCTGACCTACAGTGAGGAGGTCTGACCTACAGAGAGGAGGTCTGACCCACAGTGAGGGGGTCTGACCTACAGTGAGGAGGTCTGACCCACAGAGAGGAGGTCTGACTCACAGTGAGGAGGTCTGACCTACAGAGAGGAGGTCTGACTCACAGTGAGGAGGTCTGACCTACAGAGAGGAGGTCTGACCTACAGAGAGGAGGTCTGACTCACAGAGAGGAGGTCTGACCCACAGAGAGGAGGTCTGACTCACAGAGAGGAGGTCTGACACACAGAGAGGAGGTCTGACCCACAGAGAGGAGGTCTGACTCACAGTGAGGAGGTCTGACCCACAGTGAGGAGGTCTGACTCACAGTGAGGAGGTCTGACTCACAGAGAGGAGGTCTGACCCACAGAGAGGAGGTCTGACCTACAGTGAGGAGGTCTGACTCACAGTGAGGAGGTCTGACACACAGAGAGGAGGTCTGACCCACAGAGAGGAGGTCTGACTCACAGTGAGGAGGTCTGACCCACAGTGAGGAGGTCTGACTCACAGTGAGGAGGTCTGACTCACAGAGAGGAGGTCTGACCCACAGAGAGGAGGTCTGACTCACAGAGAGGAGGTCTGACTCACAGAGAGGAGGTCTGACACACAGAGAGGAGGTCTGACCTACAGAGAGGAGGACTGACACACAGAGAGGAGGTCTGACCCACAGAGAGGAGGTCTGACTCACAGTGAGGAGGTCTGACCCACAGTGAGGAGGTCTGACTCACAGTGAGGAGGTCTGACACACATTGAGGAGGTCTGACCTACAGAGAGGAGGACTGACCCACAGAGAGGAGGTCTGACTCACAGAGAGGAGGTCTGACTCACAGAGAGGAGGTCTGACCCACAGAGAGGAGGTCTGACTCACAGTGAGGAGGTCTGACCCACAGTGAGGAGGTCTGACTCACAGTGAGG